GGAGACAGCCATCTTGGCGCGCCAGCAACAGTCACGTGACCTCACTTCCGCGGGCTGACGGCGCTGTGCGCAGCCGCAGACCGAGGCTCCGCGGTGGGCGGAGAGAAGGGAGGCCAAGGCTTGGTTCCCTAAGCAGCAGCCGGTGGAACCTCTGAAGAGCCCCTGGAGGCTGAGTTATAGTGGTATTAAAGTAAAGCTGTTACCATGTGGGGATCAAGGAACATTTTTTTTCAAAGTTCTAAGATAATTTCAAAATATAGTGAGGCAGCAATTTAGATGAATCGCATAAACACAATGTTGAGAAGAGACCACACAGCAGAGTGCATACTGGCTGATTCCATTTATATAAAATCAAAACTACTCTTTGCTGTTAGAGTTCAGGGGCGTGACCTGCCTTGCGGGGTGGGGGAGTGAGTGGGAGAAGGCCAGTGGGGAGCTGGTGGTGGGTTTTTGTTTTGTTTCTTGATCTGGGTAATCCGTTTGGGAAAATTCATCAAGCAGCAAACATTCATTTTTCAAGATGTATGTTGTACTTGAATAAAACATTTGAGCTATAAAAAGAAAAAGAATAGGAAAGGACAAAGAAGGAAGTGAAAACCATAACGATTTTAAATGTCCGTAGTAAGAAGGAAAATTTCCCCACTGACCCTCCCATTTCACCTCCCAAAGTAACCTCGACATGGTTTTGCGTGGGTCCGTGTGACAAAGTTTTGACTCTGAAAGAGGTCCTCTTGCTGAAAAACATGGAGAGCATGTTGGTAAAGCCACCGCCCCTGCCCTCACCTTGGGAGCTGCCTCAGAACCTGTAGGGTGCTGGGCACAGCGACCACCTGCCCTTGGGCCTACCTTACCAACTCACCGGTTGGATAAAGAAACATCACAGCACCTCCTCCCTTGATGAGAGCCTGGACTGGGCAGCACCATGCTGATGCGATTACCCAGGGACCCTAGAACCCAGCTCAGGACTTGGCATGTATCTCATTTGCGTCTCAAAATAGCCCTGTAACTCCCCATTTTACAGATAAGAACACTGAAGGTCACACCATTGGTTAGTATGTGGCAGACACAGGACTTGAAACCTGAATTAAAGAGGGTAAGGAAGGATGAGTAAATGTGTACAGGTGGAGGGATGGGCTGACCAACACCGTGTGCAGCTCATTAGTCCCCCAGTTCTCAGAGAGGCCCCTGCCTTCAGTTGCATGTGCCAGAGGCTGGAACAC